ACTGGGTGTTCCAAAGTATTGCTGTCCGGTGTGGGGTTTGTTATAGTGATGGGAGGCTGGTTGATGCAGGGCAGAACACTGATTAATAGAACGAGTGCCCTCACAAGATGAGGCCAGAGGTCTAGCATCTTTTCATCTATGGAGGCAAGTGAATAACTCCAGGAGTAGAGCAAAGGGCCCTTGCTGAGGACCTGGGCTGCTAAGACCCCGGCTTCCTCATCCTCTATCTTCAGTAGCGAGAAAATAGATGTGTGATTTATTTTCTTTAAACTTGAGCTTTGTTCATGCTAGAAAGGCAAGTGCTTTGTCACCAACCTATCTCCTCAGGCCACCTGGCTCATGGCAACTTGTTACAGCAGCCTGGACTGAGCTAAACGTCTGTTATCACATTTTGTGACAGTACTTTGTCATGTGACAGCACTTTGTCATGTGACAGTACTTTGTCATGTGACAGTACTTTGTCATGTTTTCCTATGCTGTTAAAAACTTAAATGGAATGAAAAAAGAAATTAATTTTAAGGAATCTGTCAGAATGAAAACAGGGCTTCCATATCCCAACCATCACTCCACTGCGATCTCTGTACTCCAAACTGGGATTCTCTGTGTTCTTGAATTTCTATCTTGCCTCCACAATGTCTCGATTAGAAACAGGTTGTTTCAGATAAAGTTGAATTCCTTTTGGAGTTCATTATCAGTTTGCATGTCCTGGGATCTGTATAACCCACATGGTATTTGACATTCCCCAGAGACTGGTTGGTTAATTCTGCAGAATTAGCTTCCGTCTTTGGGGAGATATTTCTGATGTTAATTAAAAAAAAATTTATTTACTTTTTATATATTTGAATACTCTGTCACTGTATTCAGACACACCAGAAGAGGGCATCAGATCCCATTACAGGTGGTTGTGAGCCATCATGTGGTTGCTGGGAATTGAACTCAAGACCTCTGGAAGGGCAGCCATTGTTCTTAACCACTGAGCCATCTCTGCAGCCCCTAATATTAATTTTTAACTAAGGAAATACTGAATTTCTAAAGGCTTGGTCACATCACAAAGACTTGATTGTCACTATTATATATTTACTCCATTTTCCTCTCTGCATTTAGAGCATGAGACAGTCTGAGAACTTTCCCCCATGGGCTTGGGTGTTTGAACACTCAATTGGTGACCCTGTTTGGGGAGGGTTAGGTGGTGCAGCCTTGCTGGAAGAAGAATGTCACCAGAGGACAGACTTTGAGATTAAAAGCCTCAGGCCACTTCCTGGTCCCTCTTTCCCATTCCTCCTAACCATCTGAACTCTCAGCCTCCGCCTCCTGCGTCTATGCTTGCCGCTTGCTACCATGCCACCCACCACAACAGACTCCTATCCCCCTGGAGCTGTGAGCCAAAGTAAACTCTTCTTTTATATCCTGTAGAATTTCCCCTCTCTCATTACTGAGAACAGGTAGAAAATGTTTTAACTACGGTTATTAATGTGAAAAAAATCTATTTGTTACTTTATGCATTTGCCTTTTGCTGTCATATAACAACAACAACAACAACAAAAACATTGGAAGAGCCAACACTAACCTAGTGAAAATGGTTAACGGGATGATGGGACAAGGGTGGTATGGACAAGGGAGGGACTTAGTCTCCCTTGTGTTGCTGGAGATACAAGTGGGTTTGCTCAAGTGCTCAGTGCTACACTTAGTGCTGCTAACCTACACATTGTTATAGCTTTACTTTGAACCATGTGCATATACCTTAAAGACAAAATCTAAAACATCACGAGCATATGCAGTCACAGACACAAGCGCATTGTCCCTACTATGCTCTACTGTCACATGATCAACTAGGCTTGTTAGTATCATTAACTGAGCGCCAGAGTCATTTTCATACAAGTTTAACACTTAATTTTAACGCTTAATCTTTGACAAAGGTGTCACAAACATTCTGGCGTGAAGAATCTCTTCAACAAATAGTTTTGGAAAAACTGCATGTCTTGCCTGCATGTAGAAAAATGAAACTACACATGTCTTACCCTGTAGAGAAACTCATTCAAAATGAATGGAAAACCTTAATGTAAGACCCTAAACTTTGAGACTGACAGAGGAAAGAGAGAAAATGCTTCAAGAATAGTTAAAGATTTCTTGGGAAAGATTCTAACTGTATAGAAAATAATCTTAACAGTTGACAAAGAAGATTGCACAAGGTTAAACCACTTCAGCGCCACAAAGGAAGCCATCTTTGCAGTGAAGAAACAGCCTGCTGAATGAGGGGGAAAAGTTGCTATGTCTCATAGGAGATAAATATTTAAAAAGCTATATAGAACCCCAAAGTTAAAAACCAAAAATTATATGACTAATAAGTGACCTAATGCACTGAATAGATAGCTCTCCAAAGAAATGAAACAAAATGGCCAATAAGGATTTGAAAATGTGTTTAATATTCCTAGCCATGGGGGCTGGAGAGATGGCTCAGAGGTTAAGAGCAGTGGCTGCTCTTTCAGAGATCTTGAATTCAATTCCCAGCAATGACACGGTGACTCACAACTATCTGTAATAGGATCTGATGCCCTCTTCTGGTGTGTCTGAAGCCAGTGACAGTGTACTCATATACATAAAAATAAATAAATAAATAAATAAATAAATATCTTTAAAAAAAATCCCTAGCCAGCAGGGAAAAAAGTTAAAATAACTTTGAGACCCCATGTCACCTCAGTTGAAATCACCAAGCAAAAAGTTATAACAAATGTAAAGAGAAAGAGAAATTATTATTTACTCCTAGTCAGAATAGAAATGGGTACAGCCAGTACGGAAGTCAATGTGGAGACTCTTCAAAATACCAAAACTTACCATGTAATCAATCCAGCCTTACCTCAAGGGGTCTAAGTCAGCATCCCACAGAACTCCTCACCCATCTGCGTTCACTGCTGCTTTGTTCATAGTAGTTAAGAAATAGAGCCAACCAACAACCAACAGACAAACAGGAAAGGGAAACATGGGTAGGTATACATGGTGGAATTGTCTTCAGCTGTCTCACAGAATGAAATTATGACAGTCATAGGAAAATGGATGGAAATAAGCCAAACTCAGAAGACATATTGTGTTTTTTTCAACATATGGGGTCTATATTTAAATTTATAGATACATTGTACACACACATATTTGTAAGTGTATATATGAATACATACGTGTATACTGCATGTACATATATGTGTAGGATATGGAAGTAGGAAGGTGACTATGAAAGAGAGAGACTAAGGGAGTGGCGGCAGGGTGGGTAAGAGGATGTACGTGTCCTTAAATGGGAAGGTGGAAGGGAGTCACAAGATGCCGCGGAGGGACTCGTGCAAGTGTAGGAGGGCGAATAAAAATAAATAATAAAATAATAATAATGTGCATTGTGAAAATGTCTCAAGTTTCTTTGTATGCTAGTCAAAATTTTAAATTTTGAAAGACTAGTTCTGTAATTTAAAAAAAAAACAATCTCGCCTTATTTTTTCAGTGGCTTTAAGTATTATAGTTCAATCAAAAGTTTTATTTTGAGACAGAATCTTATGAATCCCAAGCTGACCTCAAATTTCTAATAGTTCAAGTACTGTGCTTACAGGCATGAGTCTCTAGGTGCCACTTCAGTTAAGGTTTAAAGTTTTGTGTAGAGTTCTCTAGACAGCTCTCACACTCCTTGGATCTTTTCTTTAGATGCAGCCTTCCTTAGCTTAGCAAGTGAGAGCTCCCGCTTAGAGCCTGGTTTGGTGCAACAGCTCTGCCAGTGCTCAGTCCTCTCTTGCTCCTTCCTTTACAGTTTAGTGTAAAGTTTAGCTTGTCTCACTTTGCCCAGGCTTCTTTATGGCTATCTTAAATGTTCTCAGAAGGATTATGTCCAGCAAGGACGGAATCCAGTCAAACTGACCCTGGAAGGCCCTGGGTGTTCTACGTAGCTCAGAACTCAACTTATGTTTATTTCAGAGGAGCAGCTGGTCTTCCAGTCTGGGGATTCAGAGTAGGTGAGTACGCATATCATTTTTAAGCATCTAGTACGTTCCAAGCATTGTGATGCATGCCAGAAATGCAAAGGTGAAAACTTGGTGCCCTAAAGATGAAGAGACTAGAAGACGTAGCAGGTTAAGTATCAGGTTGGAAAGAAGTCAGCAGAACTGGTTGGTCATAGTTCTGGCTGGAAAGTGCTCAAAAAGGTGGGATGGAGAGGAATGAGTAGGAGAATTGAGTTAACTGAGGCTTGGACCTGAACAGGAAGCCATCAGGTCTTTAGGAAGGAGCGTACGGTACGCGGAGATGAACACATGCGAGCTGAACACATGCGAGCAGCTCTCCAGAATCCTTGGCAATGCTTTGGGTGCATGGAATTCCATAGGATTGGCAGGATGTAAAGTATATGGCGGGAAGAAGCAACAGCAGAGAGATGGTATGGACAGCCTCTTACTATCTCATCACACCCTTGGGTCTTCCATTATTTTCTACCATAGAACCCAAGGGGAAGAGTTGCACTATCATTCTAAGTCCTCAGGGTAAGGAGGTGATGTCGGTGTTGCTTGGGTTACAGACATTTCCCCCTGAGTGTCACGAGGAGCAAGGTGGCTGATGTTGGTCAGGTGCCATGATTTCTCTCACTTCCATAGTTAATGCTTTTTCTACAGTTGCCTGACTTAGGGTGGTTGATGTCAGATGAAGAGAACAACATTCTTTGTCTCCTTTTCAGATTTACAAGGCACAGGGTATAGGAAGTTATCATAGAATCACAAATTTCTGGAACCTTTGGGACGTGTTTGCACCCCAGCCTCTCTCTTCTACTGTCCTGCTGTCTGGATAGTTTCCTCTCCCCAGCCCTGCTGCTCCTTGACCTCCTCATGTCTACATCAAGGCTTGTTTCTCCAACGGAAACCAAGGTGGCTCACGGAAGACCCTGCCTTGCTATACAGAGATTTACTAGAGACCAATGACTTCAAGTGTTTTTTTCCCTGCACTCGATCTAAAACCAGGAGCCAGGAAGAATGGGGTCTAAAAGCAAAACAATGGACATTCTATTCCTAAAGCCCATCGAGACGAAAAAATACAATGCTTTTCAACCACTAGAGGGAAAACATCTATTGGTAAGTGTGTTGTACTCTTAGGGTAGACGTAACCGTCCATGTTCATCCCTTGCCTTCCATCTACTGTTCTTGCAGTGACATTTTAGTGCGGAGACAATTGTCTTTCACATGAGCTGTGCCTAGGTCAGCCTAGGACACTGATCATTTGGTAGGAGCCATTCTGTCTACAGAGAGAGACTGGGCCCTGGTGTTTGACTTGCTCATGGCATAAAAAGGGACAGTATATCCAGGAACGGTTTTTATACCCATCTCTGTGAATTCAAGGCCAACCTGGTCTATATAGCAAGGTCCAAGGCTACTTAGTGAGACCCTGTCTCAAAACACTCAATCAGACAAACAGAACAAAGCAATCTGTGAGGAACAATGTAATGCCCTCCTCAGGGTCAGAAAGCTCCTCTGCTCACTAGGCAGAAGATCAGCAGCAGAGGCTATGCCAGGGAGAAGAGCCCAAGGGAAGAGGCCTTACCCAACCTCTTGTTTCCCCAAGTGAAGGATTCATCCCCTAGAGCTTTGAGGATACCAGCCTACCCTCAGTTTTCCAGTGCAGGTTGCTGGAAGGGTGGAGGTGATACTGACCTGCAAACCGGGGAAGATAAAAATTTCAGGGTCCTATGCTTATGAAATATCTATGGCGTTCCAGAGCAGGAGAGTCATCCCCTGTTGTATCAGGTATAGATAGGCTCAGTCCAATGAATTGGTTTCACAAGGAATGACAGAGAGCCAGAAAAAAGACCTGCTTTGAGGTACCCTGTGCCTTCTCATTACACTTCATCCTTACTTTCTGTTCTTAGGTCAAATGCTTTGCTTCTGTGGAAAACATTCCTCTCCCCTCAGGCGCTCACTCCAGAGCCTGTGTTTTAGGGCTCAAGCCTGTATTTTAGGGCTCACCCCAGAGCCTGTATTTTAGGCATCTCTTTCTTGAGAACACTATTTACCCTCTAAGTCCCATGTTTCACACTCTTCTTAGCATTTCTTCGTCACAAACTGTAATTTTTCTGTTATGTCGTTAGGCACTGGACAGTGATCCAGCAACGTGGCCTGTCTTAGAATTATGGTGAGAGCAGAGCTAAAACTGTAGTCCTAACCTGCACAGTGTGATTCCTGTAGTTGCCAGAGGGAAGAGTGCCAGCAAATGAGCCCCTAAGGTGGATAACCACAAAGCTTCTGTATCCTAGACGAAAGGGGTACATGCTTTCCACTCCCACATCTAAGATCCAGAGGTGAGAATGGGACCAGAGTAAAGAGTCAGGAGTTTAACATCTGCTGGGGATGGGATGGCTGTCCTAAAAAGTCACTACCAGAAGGGGGTGTCTTCAGAACAGTACAGCTAGAGAACAGTTAGCGCTCTTATAACCAATCCTGATGCTTTGCTACTGAGAGTTATTAGTTTTTTCTTACCTTTAGTGTTTTCCTTATCTTTTAATGGAGACTTTTAGAGACAGCACTTTAGAATACTATCAACTTGACCATTTTTTTTTAATTTGTGGGACTGGAAGGACTTGAATCAGCTTCATTTCCAGTTTAATTAATTATAGCAGAATCTGTAATTCTGTTCCTGACAGTCTAATGGAGTCTGTTTTTGAAAAGACTTCAGATTGTATCTCAGAAGGAAAATGTCACAAATTGAGAAAGGCCTCATGAGCTCATATTAATATTAGCCAGGGCAGCTAGCCTGAATACAACTGAGTGAATGGATCAACAGGGCTTCTTGCTATCGTCTCATTTATACGTACTTCAGTTACTTCAGAAATGCAAGCAGTTTGTGATGGTCTGAGTTTGGTTAAGCTCTTGGTTTATTGTGAAAATTCTCCATTTTACTGTGAAAAGGGAGAATTAGTGTACAAAATGCCCCAGGCTCTACTGCTAATTGTTTAGCTGGGTAATTGAAATTCAAACAAGGACTCCATCCCTTGATCCCTTCCAAACGTGGGGGCAAGCCAAGCCTGGACTTTGACTTTCCGTCCTGATTTTCTCTGCCACTTCATTTGTTAGGTTGATGTAGGAAACTTTTGAATCCTTGTCCTGTTATTTCTTGCTCCTTACCGAAATTTGTAACAGAGGAACAGAGCGTACTCGGTCAGTGTGCGTAGACAAGCAGGAATTCTAAGGCAGGAAATCAACTGGAACTGTTTCTTCACAAAACCACATTCTCATATTTTCACCCAATTCAGATGTTCCGAGATATTTTCCTCATCGTAATGAAGAACCATCAGTCAAGAGTTGAGAATGAGATCGCTGAAGACACAGGCTCCTGACGTTTCCCTAAGACTTAGCTACCCTGTAGGGGAACATTCTCTGTAAACAGATAGTGACCTTGAGTTTCAGGATGGGTGACAGAATATCTTCTTATCACGAGCACGTTCACATTGTCTTGCAGCTGAGAAAGATAATAACGGCTCCACGTGGGAACCAGAGTGATGGCGCGGCGGAGTTTGTCCTGGCGGGCTTCCCGAATCTCAACAGCACAGGAGCAGAAGTGTTCTCCCTGTTCCTTTTCATTTACCTGTTGACTCTCACGGGCAACATGTTGATTGTGGGGGTGGTGGGCTCGGATCATCGCCTGCAGACGCCCATGTACTTCTTCCTGGCTAACTTGTCCTGCCTAGAGATTCTGATCACTTCTGTCATCATTCCGAAGATGCTGAGCAATTTCCTCTCGAGACGGCACACCATTTCCTTTGCTGCCTGTATTACTCAATTTTACTTTTACTTCTTTCTGGGGGCCTCTGAGTTCCTACTGTTGGCCGTCATGTCTGTGGATCGCTACCTGGCCATCTGCCGTCCTCTGCATTACCCCTTGCTCATGAATGGAGCCGTGTGCTTCCGGGTGGCCTTGGCCTGCTGGATGGGGGGACTCCTCCCTGTGCTTGGCCCCACAGTGGCTGTGGCCTTGCTTCCTTTCTGCAGACAGGGTGCTGTGGTTCAGCACTTCTTCTGTGACAGCGGACCCTTGCTTCACCTGGCATGTACCAACACCACCAGACTGGAGGAGGCTGACTTTGTCCTGGCCTTTCTTGTCATCGTGTCCTCGCTCTCCGTTACTGCTGCGTCCTATGGCCACATAGTCCTGGCCGTCCTGCGCATTCCCTCTGCTTCGGGTCGGCAGAAGGCTTTCTCCACCTGTACTTCCCACTTGATGGTGGTAACCCTCTTCTATGGGAGTGCCATTTTCCTCTACGTAAGGCCATCCCAGAGCGGCTCTGTGGATACGAACTGGTCTGTAACCGTGGTCACAACATTTGTGACCCCTCTGCTGAATCCATTTATCTATGCCTTACGCAACAATCAAGTCAAGGAAGCTTTGAAAGAGATGTTCGGAAAGGTAGTCACAAAGCTTTTGCAACAGTCTTTCCTTGGGGATAGTTTGAGAAAGAAGACAGTCAGGTGAAAGTGAAGGGACTCAGTCTCAGGTCCACACGTCTCCATTGCCAGCTCTTTCTTCATCCTGAGAGGAGCCACAGTGAGCTTCAAGGAGAGCAAGCCTACATTTCTCTTTCAAGCAAAAATGAATCGACTACATTATATCTCGTAATAACAACTCATGCTATTTTCAGTTTCTTATTTTATTAATTATGTGCCTATGTGGGGGATATGGGGTATGTGCATGAGAGACAGAGATTCTCTGGTAGGTAGTCAGGGAGAAGAGTTATGGCTAGGTAAGAAAGGTGACCAACTTCTGACATGGCTGGCTTTTCTCACCTTCCTGATCTGTTACAAAAACTTGGCAGCTTAAAGCAAAGGTCTGGAAGCCCCCCTTCCCAATAGGCCCCGGCTGATAGACTGTTACATGACAGTTATAGGCCAATCAACTAGTCTTTCTTCAAACCGACCAACCCTTAATTTGGGGAGTGTAGTGCCCCATAGACTTGTGTGAATGCTTGGCCCATAGGGAGTGGCACTATTAGAAGGTATGGCCTTGTTGGAAGCATGGCCTGCAGGCTGCCATGCTTCCCATCATGACAATAATGGACTGAACCTCTGAAACGAACTCCTTGTCCTGCATGTGTAGGTTTCTCAGTGTGCAGCAGTAGTACTGTTTAGTAAATTCTGACCCTTTGCTCCACCTACGCTGTCGGGCAGGCTCCCTTTGCTGTGTTTCAAGTCAGTATATGCTTAAAGACTTATAACCACAAACTTCCAACGGTTGTTTTGGAGAATGCTAGCATACTCTTCATTTCTGCTTTTTATCTAACATAAATTATAAAGTAAGTCAAGACACATATCTGTGCCTAAGATGACAGAAGTCTTCCGCTGTTTATTTAGTAGGTGTGGCACATGTACCTACTATTCCTGGGGGTTCTACTTGGGAGGCCGTGAGTTCTAGCCAGTCAGGGCTACATAGTGAGACCTGGTCTCAAAATGGAAAAGAAAATATAATTAAAGATCAAAAGGCACCTTCAAAAGCTAGCCTCGGCAGCCTGGTCTACATAGTGAGTTCAGGGTTGCCAGGGATATATAGACAGTCCCATCTCGAAAACCAACCACCCAAGGGACACATAAAGCCAGTCTCCGAATTCTTGTTTTGTGGCTAGGCTGCGTAGATCGCAGCCTCCACAGGCTTGCCCCTGGAAGATCCCAACTACACTGGTATTTGACCTTTGACCTTGATATTTCTCTTGGGCAACTTTAATTCTTTTGTTTGTTTTTTCATTTTGTTTTGTGTGAGAGAGGAGCAATAAGAAAAATCTAGATCCCCTTAAAAAAAAAAAGTTAACCAAGCTGTGACAGTTTTAAGTCAGCTTGACACAAGCTACAATCATCTGGGAAGAGGAACCGCAACTGTGAAAATGCCCTCATCTGATTGGCCCGTGAGAAGCCCGTGGTGTGTTTTCTGCTTTGATGACGGATGTGGGAGGGTCCAGTTTCTTATAGTTGTGACTGTTACACGGAGCCCACCGGAGATGAACACTCGGACAACATTTGATGCCAATTAAAATCCTTTATTCCTGCTGGCTGGGACTACACACAGGAACTCATGACCTAAGTGTAGTCTGGAGTGTACACTGCACAGGGTTTTGAAGGCGGAGTCCTGGCGGCTTGCTTAGCAGCCTGCTGGGGGCAGTGGTGGGGAGCCTCACAGAAGCAAGCCGTTTGACAGAAGCTTCTTGCCCTTCTGTTCCTAGATGGGATTCTCCATCAAGGAGATCAAATTCTAGTGAAACCCGAAATAGCCTCTGCAAGAATACAAGATGGAGGAACTGCTGCTCTGCCTTACCCTGCTAGAGTACCGCTCCTGCGCAGATGGTCCTGGGTGTTATAAAAAGGCAGACGGAGCAAGCCAGGTGAAACAAGCCAGGAAGCAGCACTCCTCCACGGCCTCCGCATCAGCTCCAGTCTCAGGTTCCTGCCTTGAGAACCTGAGATCCTGTCCTTTCTCCAGTGATGGATATAAACCCTTTCCTCCCCAAGTTGCTTTTGGTCATGGTGTATTATTGTGGTGCTTTGGATGAGAATGGCCCCCATAGGCCCATATGTGTAAATGTTTGGTCCCCCGTTGGTGATTTCATGACCAACTGGAAAGAAGGATTAGGAGGCATGGCCTTGTTGTAGGAAGTGTGTCGTGGCATGCTCTTTCTGCCTGTCACTTGCAGATCATCTGTGAGTTCTTGGTGCTCCAGCACCATGCCTCCCTGCCTGCTGCCATGCCCCTCAGCATAATGTTCATGGACCAACCCTCTGAAACGGTAAGCAGCCCCCAATTAAGTGATTCCTTCAAGACGATTTGGTCATGGTGTCTCAACAAGCAACCGACCAATAAGACAAGTATCATGGCTACAAGGACCTTACCTAAGACACAAGCTCCTGGGGCAGCTGACCCTACAAAGCTACAGATGGCACATCCTGTGTGATATAGTCAGCTAAGCATTCTGAGTTCCTTAACTCCCCCCATATCTTCTAAGTTATCACATAGATAAAACTTCTTCCTCACAGTGTAGGACCCCTCCTTCCTGCTGCAAGTCCTAAATGGGCACCTTTGCTCTCTGGGTGATGGTATGAGGCCTTTTCCTTTGTAGCCCACCATCCTGCGTGGCATTAAATGAAGCTGGCTGTGTGCTTGAGGACAATCTGCCTGGTGTTCCTCTTGAACCGAAGACTTTACAACACTGGCCTCAGGAAATAAACCATTACCTACAGTGACCAGTCCAGGAAGCCAACCTACAGTCAAACTTAAAGGGACCCACAGTCCTGTCTCTAGCATCTAGGCCAGGAGGCCACAACAACACATTATAAATAAGCCCTAATCCTGGAGTTGGGGAAACCCTGATCATGAAAAATAAAATCAGCTCTAGAAGATGGGGGCTTGACAAATGAGCAATAGCCTCTCCAGTTATAAGTGAGGTCCAAGTAGAAGAAGGGAAATAAACACTGCAAACCATGCAGGTGCACGCATCTGTGTGGCAATGGTATCTAGCTCCTACGTCATAGTCTCTAGTTAGGGCAGACCTGAAGCCTCCTGCTTGTCTGCTAACAAGCTTTATCACTCTCTGCCTTCAACTACCAAAGACTGAGGCATGGCAGCCTGTCCTGAATCACATTCTGGATGCTTTTTGTATCTCCTTGTTTATAGGACCCTTGCTTGTTTCCACACTAGGATGAAAGTACCTCAGAATAAAAATGTGAGGGAAAATGGGAGCCAGACAAACCTGTGAAAATATAAACAGATGGCTTAGAAGAAGCACATAGGATGTCCAGGAACACGTGAGAGACAGTGCCAATCTCAACTGGAAGGGGCCAAAGTAAGCTGTGAGCAGGTGGTCTAGGAATACGGGGCAGTTTGGCATTAAACAGTGGCATGACTCCTAGGGATAGGAACGGCTGAATATGGATAGAATCTTTGGCCAAAAGATGGTTTGTTTTGACAGACAAATGTCAGGCCCATAGCTATTGCTCTGCGTCTTCTTTGGAGTGCTTTTTTAATTACCTAAGAATTCTTTTAAATATGTAATGGATAACCAGTAAAGGAGACTAAACCAGTCCCTGCAGAGAGTGCAAGAGAGCCCACCAAACTGTGGCCAGGTGGGGATGAGGATTATTGTGGGGAAAGGAAAGGAGCCAAGAATATGACCAGAGGATGATGGGAGAAGAAACAGCAAGAAGGGAAGTTTTGACTGAGACTGATTTTGTCTAAATCCACTCTCTGAAAATTATAGCAATAAAGATGACAAGAAACGATGATAATGGGCTCTTATTTCTGAACGAGAACACTACATAACTAACCAAATGATATAGTAATTTACAGTCTTAAAGAACGAACCTTGTGGCTTTCTTGGGGATGTGGTGGCCAGGGCCACCATAGAAAGTCTGAGGACCTGTGGCCAGGGAGTACAGGGGGACACAGGTCCAACTAAGTCAACAAAGACCCTGCTTGTCCGGCTCTGTGCACAGGACATCTTGGTGAGACCTCTGTAGACTCAAACCCGGATCGGGAACATCTGCCGTAGATGGCTTATTTTCCTAATTAACGGAGCTCACTCATTTCTTTAAAATGTTTTGAGGTCAGCAACATCATGTGTACATTTACATAAGACAGGATGTAATGAATGTTTTTTAGGTAGAGGATAGCTGTGAAGTTTTTCTTAAGTAAATGCATGTCTTTGTTCTTGTTTACCAGGTTACAGAAACAAGGATTTGAAAAGGTTTAAAAGTGCAAATCTTGTTTTATTTTTTAATAGCAAAGATGTGTGAGTGTTAAATTTGTTCTCTGGTTAAATTTTGCACCGATTGCTTCCTCCCTTGAGCCTTTGAGAAAGACTCACTGTAGAAAAGGCGGCCAAAAGTTTGCTGGGATTCAGGCAGGTGGGCGCCGGCTCATCCTCGCGGGGGTCCCCGGGCGCTGCTCCTCCGCGGGGTCCCCTCTGCCGGGTCCTTTCTGTACATCACTGCGGGAGGTCCCGCTTCAGTTTCCAAGACGAGAGACAAAATGACAGTCTGGGGAGGCTATACTCGAAGCAGAACATTTCAGGAATAGGACAAGAGAACGTTCCATTTTTGATTCAGAAGACCATGGAATTTCCCTTGTAACGAATCCTACACAATACTCCAGAATAACAGGTTGACAATATATATCTATAAGGGGAGAAGTAGGAATCTCTTTCTCAGGTGAGGGCTCCATAGCTCAGGGGTTAGAGCACTGGTCTTGTAAACCAGGGGTCGCGAGTTCAAATCTCGCTGGGGCCTTCAAGTTACCTTTTTTGTTTTCTTTCTCGACCCTTGAGAAGCGCGTACCCTTCACCGGTCTGGGTTCCAGAAGACCGCGGTTTCTCAGCCTTGCTTCTGCGCCCGCCGGCGGCTTCGCTGCAACCAAACCCGGAGTCCGCGCGGGGCGGGCGGGTGGCTTCGTAAGGCGGAGTGGGCGTTTGTCCTTCCAGCAGAAGGCGCTCCAGCGCCGGAAGCTCCTTACCTCAGGGCGATCATGAGTCTTGAGGCGAAAATAGGGGCCGGCGTATCCAGTGGCTCGTTGGTCTAGGGGTATGATTCTCGCTTAGGGTGCGAGAGGTCCCGGGTTCAAATCCCGGACGAGCCCAACTTTTGAGTGGCTAACTCTGCTTTGGA